TTGGGCTGGGACCTGTTACTGGCCAATCTGAAGAGACAGAGTAATTTGGGTTTAAAGGCATAGTCAAGTAGCTCCATTTGAATCCCAATGGGCTTTATCAAAGCCTAGTTTACCAGAGCTTTATTCCAAAAAATCATAAATGAAAACTACTTGAGACTAGAGTTAATTATCCTGTTTTTTTTTCCAGGAAAAACAAAACAAAACAACAACAGATAGAATAAATAGGGAAGAAAAAAAAATCTAGCCCACAAACCCCAAGATGTCTTGCAAAATATAAGTGATCAAAACCACATGTAAGGGTATAACTTTCTGCTTGGACAGAGGGAGGAGGAGGAGGAAGAAGAGGAGAAAGAAGAGGAGGAGAAGAGAGAAAATAGTAGCATTGCGCAACTGGAACTGGCCTGTGCTGGGTCCCCCTGGGGTGGGGCAGCTATTACTACTAATAAATTGTTATTTGTCCTTCCTTCTTGAAAAAGACCAATGACATCAGAGAGGAGATATATTGACTTGTGATTGAATTGAATTTAACTGAGGAAGGGCTATGCAAAATCATTAGCCTCACTCTCTCCTCCAGAGTCATTGGAGTTTAGTAGCAAGACCACTGGCAATGTCAGGACAACTGGCAATGGCCCTGGTTGCAGTGGGAGACTTTGGCCTTTTTAAGCCTTTTTAAGTCTTTCCCAGGTCTCGGTTTGTCTGAGGCAACACCCATTCAGTGATTAAAGGCTAGGTAACAATTGAGGCAAAAGATGGCCTAGTTTGACTTCCCAAAAGAATCTATCTGTGAGGGGAAGACCCTCAGAGTTTCTGGACAAAACAGAAACAATTGCTATTTACACTTCACCTTACACTTTGCTCTGGCCATTAACAGAAACCTTGCCTTTAGGCAGGGGTCTAATAAACATATTCACTCAGAGGGGTAAATGATTGATAAGGCTTAGCAAATATCTCTAAGTGCTAGTTGCATTTCAATAAGACTTAAGACAAAAGAATGAATCCTGGGTACCAGAAGAACTAGTGGGAGGATAAATATTGTTTTGGGTGTGGCTACAATGAGCAGCACTAATTCTACCTAGTGTTCTGACTCTGGGTCTGATTAAAAAAAAATGACTAATATAGAAACAATCAAAAAGGATCCTAAAGGATTTAGCCTGTTGCTCTTGGAAAGTTGTTTCCATATCCTAGTTTGTTCTTAGAGCAGAGGTCTGGATTAGGTGTGGGGCAAGGGCTTGTGATTTTTTCCAGGGCATTACTTTCTACTAATGAGGATTACTGAAATACTGAAGTGACTTGGTGGTGTCATCAATGTGGATACTTCCTACAACAATCAGATCAGAACTTCCTGTTTTTCTGGACTAGTCTTTCTCCATGCAATAGACTGTATGTTTTATGATCCTTCCTCTTCTTCCTACCACTTCCCTCTTGTCCTGCCCCTTTACTGGAACATGCCCACTTGTCCATTCTCCCCTCTCATCTAGACACTTTTTTATTAGAACATCTCAGGCCAGAAATTTTCACTTTCCTAACTCAGTGAACACCAGACTTTTTTTTTTTTGCTAATGTAACTTTTTAGTTAAAAATAAAGTTTAAGCATTAACACCCAATATATGTATATTTATTTGTTTATAAATTATACATTTATACCATTGTGCTAATAATTAGGAATGTTCTAAAACTTACACAAAGTAGAAATTAATAAAGGATAAGAAAAAGATGAAATCATATTTGATCTTAGAATCAAATTGGAATTATTAAGTAGGGGAATAGTATGCTCCAACCTAACACATTAAGAAAATAACTTTGACAGCTATGTGGAGGATGGGTCAGAGTATAGAGGAACATGAGGGAAGGAAACCAATTAGAAGCCTATTGCAATAGTTCAGGCAAGAGGTAATGAGGGCCTAAATTAAGCTGGTGACTGTGAGTGGAGCAAGAGATAGATTCAAGAGAAGTGCTGTCAAGGCAGAAATGACAAGATTTGGCAACTGATTGGCTATGTGGGGGAGAGTGAAGAGCCAAAAGTTGCATGAGATTGGAACCTAGGTGACACTAGAAGTATGATGTTATCCTTGGCAGAAATAGGGAAATTTAGACTAGGTAGAGTTTGGGGTCGGGGAAAGATAATGTAATAAAATTTATGATCCACCTACATTATGGCCACTGTCTTCTACTTCTTCATTTCCATCCTACCAGAAAGCTTGGACTCTAATCCTGGACCATCCTGGGCTTTGAGAGGTGAGCTTTTGGCTTATCCTGCCCCAAATCAGGCCTCCATATCACTTTATAGCCATTACCTGGCCCTTCCCAAACCATGTCACTGAACACATAGCCCCCATCTCTACATCGGCTTTCTAGCTCCCCTTGCTTTCCAGCTCCCTTTTATACATTATGTTCCCCTATCAGAATGTACATTCCTTGAGGTCAAGGACTATCTTGCATTCTTGTATTGTATTGCCATTGTTTAGCACAGTGCTTGGCATATACTAAATATTTATTAAATTCTTTATCATTCATTTATTCATATTGCAACCCATCCATACCTACTCAGCCAGTGCAACGATATCTGTCCCATCCAAAACAAAAAAGACTCTAATTCATTAATTACTGTCCCAGAGTCAGAGCTCTCATTTTGAAGGGTACCTACTATAGAAACAAAGTGATCTCAGGGACAGGGAGTACATATGCTGGTGGGGGTGGAAGAGGGAATTTTTCCAGTGGCAACTACATAGCTCCTGCTATGGCACCCTGTAGAGGTTAGGTTATTACTAGATTTTAACTCTTCTGAGGGGCTTGTGATCATTTCAGGAGGGAGAAGGTTAGGGATTACACAGCTATGGATGGGAGAGGAGTGGGGGAGTACTGGGATATGATAGTTGAAGAGTTGGTGTGGTTATGTTGGAGACAGGCTCCATCATAGGTAATGACTGTAAATGTGGGTTGTGATCCATCTTCTCACCCAGAATGGTTAATCACAAAGTTCTGAAGTTCAAACCACCCACCAGCTTTGGAGATCTCAGTCTTAGATAACTGTTTTTTCACAGTCTTTGAGCTCAGAGATGGGAAACCAATTACATTCCCAAACAGGACTCTTTCCTTTCTTCCAATGGACCTGAGCTTCTCTGATAGCTAGGTGCCATGACTTCCAGAAATAAGCTGGAGTAGCTATAACCCCTGAACTGAGTCAGCTTCCTTAACCTCGACATTTCCTGAGAGCCCTAAAGAACCAACCAAGAAATTTGAGACCACTGTGGCCTCCCTTTAATTGACATGGCCTAAAGACTGTAGTGACTAGGATTCCCTGACAACATCCCTGGTTGTATTGCTTCCTTGTCCTGCTTTGGAGGTCTTACCTGGAAGAGTATTTTTGTTCAGTTGTTTCAGTCATGTTCTACTCTTTATGATCATCTGGACCTGTGTCCATAGGGCTTTTCTTGGCAAAGATAACAGAGTGGTTTGCCATTAAGTGACTTGCCCAAGGTTACACAGCTAGGAAATTTCTAAGGCTGGATTTGAACTCAGGTCTTCCTGACTCCAAGACTCTATCCATTGCACCACTTAGTTGCCACCTGGAAGCATTGTTGTCGTTCAGTAATGTCTGACTCTATGCAACCGCATAGACATTGTCCATGGGGTTTTCTCGGCAAAGATACTGGAGTGGTTTGCCAGTTCTTCTCCATGTCTCAGTTTTATAGATGAGGGACTGAAGCACATAGGAGTTAAGTCACTTGCCCAGGGTCACAGAGCTAGTAATATCTGAGACTAGATTTGAATTCAGATTTCCTGACTCCAGGCCTGGTGCTCTTTCTACTGTGCCACCTAGCCGTTTCATCTGGCTTCAAGTCCTGCCTCTGACACATACCAGGTAGGTGACCCAGGGCAATTCATTTACCCTCTCGGTGACCCTAGGCAACAATCTAAGCCTGTAAGTTGTAAAGCAGGTTTAGATCTGCATTGGTAGACACAGTTCCTTCATGTGGCATTTTCTATGTTAATAAATCACAGGTTCAATCTTTAAAAAAAAGTTTTAGCTATTCACTGGTTCACCTAATTCTTTGAAGGCCCTTTAATCACAGCAATGGATGCTCAAAAATTAAAAAAAATTTTTTTTTATGCATCACCTTCATTTCCAAATATATCCCTCCTCCTTCATATTCCCAGGGAGCCGTCCTTTGTAACAAAGAATAAAAAAGGGGGGGAAAAGAAGCAGTTCAATAAGACTAAGCAATGCATAGATTGAGGCTGAGAGCTTATGCAATATTCCACACTTGTAGTCCCCTGACTATGCAAAGAAGTGAATAAATTCTGACAATGGACTCAGAATATGCCTGTGCTGTCTCTTCTTGTGTAATTATTGTCTATCTCCTCCTTGAAGTCCTAAAGATCTATTCCCAACATATTGGAAGCCTTCTTCTAATTCTTCTGAAATTCTGTGAATGTCAAGATAGCACTCAGATTGGTCATTTGTCTTTTCCATGCTCTTCATACATAGCTGCTAGGCTTACTATTATTACCCAGTCATATGTTTACTAATTTCTTTTTTGCCACTTATGCTCAAGTCATTGTTGGCAAGATACTGTGCCATACTTAGGCCAACCATTAATCTCTCCATTACCATTTGAGTTAACCTCAATTAAAATTTTTTTGTACATAGTAGTTTCCTACAATTTGTAGTCATATATTGAATAATATTGGTGCTAAAAAGATGGATTTTTGTGTTAGGCATTAATTTGGGATCACTTAAAGTGCTATATAATTTACTAATTAAATCTAGCTTATTCCCTTCCTCTTGTTTCTATTCTGAGCCCACCTCATTTTCCATCTTCAGGGTCTCTTCAAGATGTGCTGATGAATAATAAACTAGAAGGATTATCCATCCAGCTGCATTTCATAGTCTGGATAACAGGCATCCTTTCTCCATTTGATTTTTCCTGTATAAATCAGATCTCTTTTGAATGGCCATGACCTTTGTTGAAGAGGTCCTGTGGTATTTTGGGGCTTGATGCAATCAGCACATTATCAGCTATAAACAGGAACATCTGGAGGATGTCATTGTCCATAGAGAATCCCTCTTCTATTGGACTCTGCACAGGACATCCTTTGTGACAGAGGTAAACACATTTGGTGGGTATACATTTCCCCCTTTTTATTTTCTTTGCTTGTGTAAGGTATGTTTTGCCAATTCAGTTTATACATAGCCTCATTCATGGGTTATCTAAATGCAACATGGGTAGATATCTCTGGAGTCATGCCCACTCTTCTCCAAGGGAGACTTTGATTATTACCTAGAGGGGAGAGGCAAAGATGCCATGAGATTGTCCACTAGTCCCCCTCTGAGAAAGCAGGTACTTGGCCTTGCTAACCTCAAGTCATCATTCTCTCTACCTGTTAGGATAGTCTCATGCTAAATGCTCCAGGTTTGGTGATGAAGTGATCATTAAATGAAATTGTCACCATTGTTGCATCAACTAAGGACTCTTTTGTGATCTTAATTTATGGAAAGAAGCAATCTTGTTGGAGGAACTCCTTTAACACTAGATTCTGCTATGCCTAACCAAGTGTTTTCTGTAATTAACAATAAATATTCACTACAGCTTTCATTCAAGGGAGACATTGTGTGTGTGTGATGTAGTGGAAAGTATACTAGACCTAAAGTCGTAGGTAGCCTGGGTTTAAATCCTCAAATCTGGTCCTGTTACTTACTGCCCAAGTTACTGCCTAAGCAATATTCTTACTGCTTAATTACAGTCGAATTGAGTGACCTCTCTTCTCTGTAAAATGAAGTGGTTAGTCTAGATGACCTCCAGTGTCCCTTCCAGCTCTAAAGCTATGATCTTATGAATTATGTGGCTTTGATATACTTTAAAAAAAATTGTAAAAACCTTTCTGTTTTTAAATTTTTATAAAGTATATCCTTGCTGCATGAATAAATGATTACTATTTAGATGACAGAGATGAGAAAGTAAGTCACTATTGCTCAAGGGCATTAAAAATGTTTACAGTTGAAATCTTCTACTCTCCCCAGCCCCCAAATTTGGTTATACCAACAAGGATTTTCTTCTCTGCGGCACTCTGGATAGTTACCAGTATAAAATGGCAAAGTGACAAAATGCTATAGAGGAAAGATCACTGACCTTGAAATGGAAATGATGAGGATGGGATCTAGACCTCCTGGACTTCCCCACATGGCCAAATCTCTGGTGTTTGCCTGAGGCTATAATCCCATCAACTGGCCTTTCTTTGCGGCTATATCCAATCTCCATGCCAGCCGGCCATTTCCCACACTTAATCCTAGTTAGGCTCCATTGTCCAGGTCCTAGGAATCCTGCTCACCTCAGCTTACTGGTCACTCCCATTCAGATCTTCCTTGGACCCCTCCTCCAGTCATCCAAAACTACTGGCCACACCTAGATCCCTTCCACAGTCTTTCTGTATATAAGGTCCATTTTGTCTCCATTAAGATGCTCAGATTCCTAAAATCTAGCCACTGCTCAGATTCTTAGAATCTAGCCAATACTTGCAGACTCCTAGATTTCTCAAGAGTCTGACAATATGGTGGATCTTTAATAAACCTTTTTTTTTTTGGCTGAAAGAAGGCTTGGATCGAATTCTCTTAGGCAGGACCCATGTGTTGTGATCTCAGGGTCCCAGCACCCCTAACCTTTAGACCTCATCAGAAAGAACTGGATTTTAGTCCTATTTCTGCCACTGACTAGTTGTGTGACCCTGGGCATGGTTTATTGGTTTTTCTTTAATTGTCTAGACCTGAGAAAGTAATGAAGAAAATGTTAACAATGCAGGTTAAATTTAAAAGTGTGTCATGCATATATTTTTCCCCAGAGAGTCAGTTTTTAAACATTTACCATCACACTCCTGATTGATGTATCTTTAATGTATCCATTAAATCTTAGTAAATACCTTGAGGAATTGATTACTTGAGGCATACAGAAATTAGATGCCATGAAGCAGCTGGGTGGTAGGTACAGTAGATAGAATGATGGATTTGGAGTCAAGAAGATTTCAATTCAAATTAGTTGTGTGACTTGGGCAAATCATTTACCCTCTGTTTGCCTCTGTTTCTTCATCTACAAAATGGGAATAATAATAATCCCACCTGACAAGTAGTGTTTTTAGAATCAAATGAAATAATATTTGTAAGGTGTTATGCAAACCTTAAAGCACTATCTAAATGCTAGTTACTATTATTATTTCTTCCCCAGGATCATATAGCTAATAAGTACCATTAGTGGGATTTGAACCCAAGTCTTCCTGACTCTAAAGCCCAACATTCTGTCTATTATGCTACATTGATCATCTATAGAAAAGGGATAGTAATATTTGTATTATTTGCCTTACAGAGGCATCATGAAGCAAGAATGCTGTAAATGGTAAGCCCTATATATATAAATTTGATCTGGTATTGACAATGATGATGATGATGATAATTAACATTTCTATAGTGCTTTAAGGTTTGTAAATATTATCTCATTTTTATCCTCACAAAGTGCATTGGAGGTAGGTGATATAATTATCTCCATTTTACAGATAAGGAAATTAAGGCTGGCAGGGGTCAAGTGACTTGCCTACTCTTCCTGATTCCAAGTCCAGTGCTCTATTTACATTACCACCTAGCTTTTAAATACAGAGATCCATTATTTATGACTCATGTTAATTAGGACCAGAGAACATACAGATAATTGAAATCTACCGTCAAACCTCACTTTAGTCAAGAGTTTTAACTCACTTCCCTTACTTGTATTCACGTGCCTCCTTCCTTATTAGAACTGCTCATAAGAAGCAAAAAGAGATGATTTGAAATTCACTATATCTAATTATCTATTATTCAGACTGTGAATAATAGAATAAACAATTTTATTTGGGCTGAGGGAATTATTATTATTATCAGCATCATAAATAATTATGTCAAACCCATATTGGGGTTCTAAGCACAATGGCATTACCAAGAAATAAAAAGATGTAGATGCCATGCCCTTCCCCCATTAACAATAGAAATGAAGGTAAACTCAGAATAATATGTAACTATGGTTATATAAGTGAATGGAATAGATTTACTCCTGGGGAAAAATTGTGTGTAAATGGCATCCCTGCAAACTGAACCTTATTGAAAATTCTCTAGGGGAGACTGATATTTAAAGGAAGCCTACAGTGAAACCTTTTATAAAGTGAAAAATTATTTCATAAAAGAAGATCGTCACTATGAAATAATTTTTTTCCTCCTAGATTTTCATGGACAGGATTTTTGCTAGCTTTCTGAATAAGCAACTGCCTACATGTTGTGAATCAAAGGACTCTAGGTCAGGTACTCTGGCTCCAAATTTGTACTAGGTGGTTTGTTATAGATACCTGAAATCCTACCATTAGAATTTAATTTCTTTGAGACTTTAAGTTTCTACCATTAAAATGACCTTTAAGAAGGGTAATTCCTTAAGTTATTGTAATTACCTTTGGCAAGGAGTTGGCTGTCCACAAAATCTTTGGGATTTGTAGTTTTCCCAGTTTGAGAAGAGAGGAAACTGAAACAAGTTTAGCCCTCAGAAGGAAGTGTCAATATTTTCTTTTGTATGGTAGGAGTTCTCTCTACAAAGAATGAGAGTAGAAGGGAGAGGTAGTGGTTATCTCATGGTAGCAGCACCATGATTGTGGTAGACACTGGCTACTATATCTGTAGTTCCCATCTTCAAGACCACGAGCTATGACTTATAAATGGAGATTTGTGTGACTAAGGGGTGTGTGCATGTGTGTTCAAATCAAGGCAATCTCTCTATTATCAGGAGCACCAAGTGACAAACCAGCCTCCTCTTGAAGAAATAGGGGAACTGGAAGTCCCTACCTTACCTCTGCCTTACTTCTACTTCATTGTGGTTTTTTTTCCCTGTTAAAGAATTCATTTGCCAGAATTACTGTTATTTCTTATAAACACCCTAGGTTGACCTTCTTCTTAGGTTGCCTGATGGCCTTTTATTTGTGGCATGAGAGCAAAGTGGGTACAACACAGAAGCAAGAGGGAACTTTCCTAGTCCAGGGTTCCTAGTCCAAGCCTGTTGTTGGAGAGTTGTGTTCTTTTTCGAGAGGCATTAATAAACACTAGCCGTTTTATACCTATGCTTCCAATACAAAAATTGACCATACCTGCTCCATATACATGAACCTAAAAGTGAGAGGATGTTACATTATTATCTACTGATCTACAGCAAAACAGAAAGCAAAACCTAGAAAAGGTTCTTGAAAGGAAGTAGGGATGTAAAGAATGACAAAATAAACTTTTAATACACAGAGATCTTAACAAGAGAAGAGAACTTTAGTCAAGAGTAGAGCTATGTATTAAATGTGCGTATGCAGGTACACAGTCTAGCAAGTAACATCAATTCATTTACATTTCCCAGGGGAAGGAAGGCACTTGTAGTTACCAAATTCAGAGAAGTAAACATATCCTTTACACATCATAAAAAAGAGTGAAAAAAGAACCCCACAAACCAACTACTATGAAATGAATTGTGGCAGTCATGGTTTAATGGGCCCTACAACAATCATTCATCTACTTGCAATTTATTGAGTACAAGCTGTGAGTTGTGGATCTAATCCCATTTTTCACCATGCTGATATCCAATTTTCCCAACAATTTCTATTAAATGATTCTCTTATAGTGTAATCTTGAAGTTGTCTAGTCCTAATCTATAATATGCCTTCAGTTCTAATGTTAGATTCTTGACATTGTATCTTCAAAACTGTTCACAATTTTGCCTTGTGTCTCATTCACTATTTAAATTAAATTCACATATATCTACTCTTTTTTTTATACCTGACTCATTTTTTTTTAAAACCCACTCAATTACTTTCTGCAGATCACATTGCAGATGAAGCAACCTAATAATTAAGCCATCTCAATCATTTGTTCCCAAGCTTTTTACCCATAGCTCTGTCTTATTCCTTACTATTTCTTGGCACTTGCTAGTTGTTAAGGATCCAGAGTTTTATCTTTCTTGTTTTGTGTGGACGCCTTATTTTGAAAACCAATAAATAATAATAAAAATAAGGCTATCACTGAAAGACAGGCATTCCCCATCATTCCACTTCCAAGAATGTTCCTTTGGCATTAATGGATTATGGAACTCTGATTCTGATTGATCTTAGAAAAGTGGGGCCGGATTATAAAATGTCCCTCCTGGAACAAGCTTTTGTTGTTCACTTGTTTCAGTTTTGTCCTGCTCTTCAAGATCCCATTTGGGACTTTATTGGCAGAGATATTAGAGTGGTTTGCTTTTTCCTTCTCCAGCTCATTTTTTATAGATGAGAAACTGAGGCAAACAGGATTAAGTGACTTGCCCCAGATCACACAGCTAATAAGTCCCTGAGGCCAGATTTGAACTTGGGAAGTCTTCTTGGCTTAAGGCCCAAGACTCTATCTAATGCCCCACCATACTGCTAACTCAAATCCTGATTGACACCACCTCTCTCAGCCTCCTTTCCTTTCTGATTAGATGGCTGGAATATGAAGTATGAAATTCCTCCTAATGCCGTCCTTTATATAGGGTAGAAACTGGAGTTGCCTGTCTGTTGCCCTGCCTGGTTTCCAAAAATCAAGATGCTTCCTGGTATCCCATTGCTTCCTCCTCCACTTCCTGTCTCCTTTTGTGTGTTGTCTTCCCCTTTAGATTGTAAGATCCTGGAGGGCAGGGACTGTCCTTCTTTTTACTAATTGTATCCCCAGTGCTTTTAGCACCATGCCCTGCACATAGTAGGAGATTAATGCATGTTTATTGGAATGGATTGTTAGAATTGTCCTATTGCTTGGATTAGTTGATGCTTTGATGGCTACCAGGGATTACCACTTACACGGTTTTAAAAAATTACACGCATATATAGTGTACACATGTATATCATGACACTAAGAGTAGAAGATACTTTTAAGAGTGCTAAAGTGATTTTATGGAAATATACTCAGTCTACAGACAGTGTACTTAAAAATCTGACCTTTTTATGGAAATATTCCAGCCTTCCCTTGATTTTTAAAGTTTAAATTGCTTTCTTCTCTGGGAATCAATACTAAAATAGCTATTTAATACTTCAGAGTGCTCTAATCCCTTAAAGAAAAAGTGCAACAAAAAGGCATATAGATAGGGGGTAGACCTGTGATTAAAAGGGTATGGGAAGCTCTGCCAGTAAGATTGTTCTAGGGGCAGCTAGGTGGTGCAGTGGATACAGCACTGGCCCTGGATTCAGGAGGATATGAGTTCAAATTGTTCTACTGTAATATAGTATGTCAGAGAGCTACCTAGATCACTGAGAGGCTAAGTGACTTTTCACACAGTTCTGCATGTGTCAGGGGTGGGTTAGAGACTTCATTATAAATGTAAAAATAATTATTATACTCTACCCCATTCCATTCAACAAACATTATTCAGCCAAAAGTGTAGCACCCCCTAGGGGCTACTTACCCAACCTCCACTGGCATTGGTAGGTTGCATCCCCAGAGGTCAATGATTATGGCTCCTTTCTGAGTGTGCTTCTCATTGATTGATTTATCAACTAGAGTTAATTCACCTTGAAAAAGAATATTTACTAAGCAATTATAGCAAGGACAATTGCTACAGAATCATCCTCTTCACCACTCCTTTCCTCTACTTCCCACATACAAGTGGGGACACCCTGGCACACAAAATGTCCCTGAGGAGAGCAGGCTCAAATTGAAAGAGCTTATGTGGCCAAAGGGTCAACTCACAGTTCCTGGTTATCTGGAAATCTTTCCTGCCCTTAGTGGAACACTCTGCTAGACTTCAAGAATTGGTGTCCTTGTAGAATTCTGAAGCCACCTTTCTATGGTTTGCCTGGTTTGTCTTTGGTGTGTCTCTCAGCTACTTGGGGACATTGCTCTCAACTTTGGTTGAGAATAAGACCTTTCTTATGGAGGCTCTGATGGATCTCCTAAACTCACACAGTTGTCTGGGGAGAAAAGTAAAGCAATATTTCCCCTGGGCTTACCTCCCCACATCTGTCCTCTCGTATAGGTACAAGAGACTGCTTCCTCAAGGCACTCCTAAACCTGGAATCTCTGGAAGTTCAACTACATTACTAATAGACTGATGGAACCCCCAGTATGGTTTACTGTTTTATCCACATCTCCATAGGTGATACAACAGTGGATAGAGAGCTGGGTCTGGAGCCAGGAAGACCTGGGTCCAAATTTACCCTCAGACAATTGTTAGCTTTGTGACCCTAGGGCAGCTTTGTCCTCTCTTTGCCCTAGTTTCCTCAACTGAGAAGTGGGGATAATCACACCTGCCCTGTGGGGTTGTTGTGAAGATCAAATGAGATAATATTTGCAAAATCACTTAGTGTAGTGCTTGGCACATATTAGACACTATATAAATGATTATTCCTTCCGTCTTTCTTCTCCTTCCAGGCATGAGGGGACAACCAGTACAAAGGCCCAGAGATGGGAGAGGGGTGCCACGTATGATGAATACTAAGAAGACAATGAATCTTTTATTTGGTATGTTTAAGGAAGAGACTAACAGCAAGGCTTAAGTGGAGACACTCAAAGGATGGGAAGACAGGAATGACAAGGGAAGGGTATTAGGGCAGTCTACTGACATCCTCTCCTCCCTTTACATTGGAACCAGGACTGATACCTCTAAACTAGGGCAACACATCAACCTCCCACAGTGAGATTGGGACAGGGAAGAGAAAAAACCAGGGATGTCACCTGGAAACCTTAAACCTGATAGTTTTGAGGTCATGGAAGTAAGAGAGATGCCACAATGGTCTAAAATTTCTAGATCAATGCTCTTATTAAGCACTACTATATATTAATATCTATGTAGGACACTGTGGACATAAATACAAAAAAATTAAACAATCCCTACTTTCAAGGAGCAAACATTCCCTTGGGAGAGACAACATGTACACATATAAATATATATGGAATAAATGTTCCTTGAGCATGTGTCAGAGAGGAGGAGAAAGCTAGATGTCAAGCCAGGAGACAACCTAGATGTCAATAAATGATAACTCATCCTCTAACCCCACAGCCCCTTCTGAAACAGTCCTACAAGTTTTAGTGTCTTATTTCCAAAATATACAGGGAAGTCACAAAAAGATGAATACCTGAGGATTTATTCCATTCTCTGATTTCAGTTCTCTGATTGATTTACTGGGTGCACCCTGAGAGCCTCTAGCCAAGCAGCATAATGTGAAATATGGGCTCAGGGTCAGATTCCCTCCGGGATTATGTTGATTGCCCATAAAGTTCTGAGCTACCTGCCCTTACCAAGATGGATAAAGGAGAGTAACTGATTCCTGGGCATGATAATATCTTTAAATAATCTTGGTGATTTAGAGTTATTTGAGCTAAGTTCACAAAGAAAGACTTTAATATATGGAGGATATTGTAAGCTGTCTTCTTTTGGTATGCTATATTGTTTAATTTCTTATGTGACTGTAAGATATTTTTAAAATCTCTTTTGATGTGCAGTATCAGTTCCCAAGATTTTTTAGAATCTTCTTGAAGTCAATATGCATCCAGTTATCTCCTTAGCATTGGTAAGGTGAATACTAAAAAGATTTCACAATAGTATAGGTAAGAGGTAAGGAGAATTTGAAACTAGTGTGGTGGCAGTGTGAATGGAGAGGAGAGAATGGGTGTGAGCAATACTGTAGAGGTAGAAGAGACAAGACTTGGTGACTGATTGGATGTGGGAAATGAAGAAAAGAAAATAGTTAAGTTCTGAAGCTGGGAGATTGTGAGGATGATGGTACTATTATCAGGACTAGGGAAGTAAGGGAAAGTTGCAGATTTGGGGAAGAAAATGAAGAATTCCATTAGATCACATTGATTTGGAAGTGCAGATAGGACATTCAGATGAAGATACTGATCAGCAGTTGGAAATATGAAACTAGGGGTTTAAGGAGAGGTTAGGACTAGAGACACACATTTCAAGTCATCTTCAGTCAACTGATAGTTATAAATTTTTATAAGAGGATATACATATATGTATATGTGTATATATATGTGTATATACATATATATATATATATATAGAGAGAGAGAGAGAGAGAGACAGACAGACAGACAGACAGACAGACAGAGACAGACAGACAGACAGACAGACAGAGAGAGAAAGAATAGTGTTCACATAGACCCTGGGCATTGCACTAAGGAAGGAGGATGAAGCATGAGGAAGAAGAAATTTGCAGGTCTAGGTTTTTACTGACTTGGGAGGTATTGGACTCATCCTTATTCTTTCTACCTCAAAATTTTCACTGTGAATTGATCTTGTTATTAAATTTGGTTGTCATATTTCCTCATATGTTGTTACTGCCCTATTCCTCAAGTGGCTAATTAGATTTTCCAAAATTAAACAGGCTATTTAGACAAAGCTGAAAATGGAAATGGATAAAAGAAAAGATATTACTATGGACCATCACTAACTACTTCCTACTGAATTTTAGGCCGTGTAAAGTAAATGCCACAAGGAGGCCCAAATCACCTAGAAACCACCTTGGCCAACAAATACAACTTGAATCTTGATGTAGTTGCCAATAGGGGAGAGAGCCAACAAAGAACAACACTAGCTGCCCTATATATAGACTCATTTGCAAAACCTTACAGAGAACATTTTGGAAGCTTATGAGTATTGACTCATAATACAGCAATAAGCAGTGAAAAGAAAACAGGTTTGGAGAAAGTTTGCCATGAGATCCAATTCAGCTAGTTCTTCCAAAGAGCACTTAAAGATGAAAGTGGAATTAGATCAACAAACCAATGAAAACAAACAAAAAAAAAGAATCAACATTTTTACAATAAACTATCAATAACCAGAGCCACCACATTTGTATGTAGCATCACAGCTTCCAATGTATGTCAAGAAAAAATGGAAATGGCACATTCACACACGCACACACACATACACACCCCCAAAAATCAAAAAAACAAAATCATAGACAAGAAGCATAGCTGGGTCAAACAAAAATACATGGAAGGAATGTATGCTGGAGATGACAAAATTTCAGGGGCATTGAAAGATTGACTCCCTCTGTATATGGTAGGTTTGATCTAGCTGTTCTTGTCTTTATTTTCTTTCTTTTGAGAAAAAAACCCAAAGATGTATTAATATCCAAAAAAGTCAATTTATGGAACATCAAAAACTACCAACCCATATGCCAACTTTCTCACCTCTACAAAATCTTCATGCAAATAATCTATACATGTATTTAAGGACATCCTTGATAAAAAGATGAGAAGGGAATAGGCAGGCTTTTCTAAAGAATATTCCACAGCAAATGATATTTTTATAGTTATGCAATTGACTGAAAAGTCTGGAAAATCTGATACCACTATGTTTATTGTTTGTTGATTATTTTTTAAAAGCATTTCATTCAATGGAGCAAAATACATCCTTAAAGGCTGTTCTTCAATAAGATGGGTGTTTTCTCTATGGAAGAGAAGTTCATACGAGATTCTTTGATCAATTCAAAGAAAAAGAGAACCTTATTTGATGATCTTCTCATTATCAATATCAAGTGAAGCAGAGAGATTTTTGCTTGCCAAAATTGGTTGTCATTGTTATGTAGAATATCCAGCACACAATCTAAAAGGGAGAGAGACTCCCTATAGAAAATAAATTCCTCTAATGTTCTAGTTTTGGTTTGACACTGTAGTTTACGTGAAATACTGAAACACTGAAGAGGTCCTTAAATGTAGTCCAAAAATCAATAAAAAAGAGAGGAAGGAAGGAAGGAAGGAAGGAAGAATGGAAGGAAGGAACAGAAAAAGAAAATTCAGTTTTATCTATATAGACAATAAAAGTGGATGAAGCAAGTCTTTTGTCTCGATTATTATATGCAATTAGATGAACAGCTCATGAAATTGTTCAGTCAGGATCATATAACTTGGACACACACTGAAGATGAAGAATAAGCTGGGCCCAGAATTAAATTGAAGAAAGAGAGGGGGCTGTATTTCATTGGGAAACTACACAATGATTTCAATGACCCCATGCTTCTCCATGAAACAAAACTCCTTATTTTGATGAGAGACAGTCTGGCATAATGGATATGGATAGACTATTGGGACGACCTGGGGTCAAATTTCCCTTCTGACACTTAATAGCCATGTGACCCTAAGCCACTGACTTTATGTTCCTCAGGCAAGTGCCTAGTCCTAGGACTTATCACTTACATTATAGATAGATTATAATCTATATTGGTGGAGGAAATTCCCATGCCGAGAATTTCCCAATTCCCACTCTAAGAAAAATCCCAGATCCTTTGGAGAATTCACATTTTCTTCCAGTGATGCTATGTGGCTATGAATTATGCAATACCATAATCTCTAAATAATCAAACATATAGACCACTCAAAGGTTAAGGGAGAAATTATTGTGGGTGCTAATTTGCTAAAATGTATTGCCAAGAAGTGATGTGGAAGATATCATCAAAAAGATGGATGACCAAGAAAAGAGCTAATAAGAATTCCCTTCAGTAATAGCTCCCTTCTACTTACTTCAACACTTTAGTAGTTTCATGAATTCAGCATCTCATTCCAGCAATGCAGATCACAAAGTATCTGTATTTCGAAAACATAGAATAATTGAGTTTCAGAGTTGAAAGGGATGTTAATGAACATCTAGTCAACATATTCCTGAAAAATAATCCTTTTTTCATTACACCTAACAAGTGGCTATCTATGAATGAGCCTTTGCCCAAAGACGTCTAGTGAGACAGGAACCTTCTGCTGCTTGGGATACTATGTTCCACTTTAGGATAGTTCTAATGATTAAGAAGCTTTTCCTTACACATAGCTTAAATTTGCCTTCTTACAAGTACTACCTAGTTCTGTCCTCTAGGGTTGAGCAGAACAAATCCAATCTCTTCCTGATGATGACTTTTTAAATACATGAAAGCTATTAAACTTCTTCAGGCTAACCAATCTCATTTCTTTCAACTGATCTCATAAATGCTCTCAAATGGTCTAGGGGTAGAATTTTTGCCTTTTTTCAGTTCTAACATTTTACAATTCCATGATTCTATAAGCTGTTATCCAGTTGCTTACCTCTGGTCATTATTTAATTTTGATTTTCTTTTTTTTTTCTCCCCTTTTTTCTTTTAGGGACAAGTCTACTACTTCCTCTAGTAAGTTGGTCTTGAGTTTATAAATTATTTTTCTTTTGTATATCTTCTGGTCATTGAAGTTGTTTCTGCAATTCACTAAATAATAACAATAATATGGAGAATTTTACTGATGATGTTATGAAACCCAAAATGGAATGTTTCCTGTCAGGAAAAAGGGATAGTGATGAGAGGTGGTTTACATATTTCCAAGAAAAACTGTTGCTTCAGACTTCCTGAGAAATGGGGTAATGATCAGTGCAGCAATTGTTGCAGATGGTGATAAATATTAATGAGAATCTTTTCCTTGAATCTTTTTCTTTTTAAATGAAAGCAAGAGTTTTGGAGCTTCCCAGTGATATTTCAATTAATTACTTATTTAATGCTAACAAAATGTTGGTTTAAGTTTACTAGCACTTTCTAATGTTAAATAGAATAGGTTGGACTGTTTCATTTCCACTTCCACAAATACCTTTTTTAACAATAAATGACCTTAACATTCCCAGAAAGTAGAACCTGAAAGTAACATTTACTGTAAAACTTCTTATTAACTGGAACTCAATTAACTGCGACCTTGGGGGGAAAATTTATAATACAGGCAACTGTGTTTTATATTGCAGCTTTATTGAATATATGTGATCAATAACAAATAGTGTCATGGCAAGATTCTATAGTAGAGAACTGTAAAATAAGTTAACATTTTTGGATAACAAGCTACCAGAAAGGAAGAATGATCTCCCCAAAAGGAGAAATTTCTACTGCAATAAACTTACATAGAAAAGGGAAAATAAATGAGTTAAAGCTATGCTACCCTTAAAATAACTTCTACAGTAATGGAGTCCAGTACTTCCTTTTCCAAGTAGGTTTACTACTGAAAGTAGAAGACTAATTATGATACCATTTTAAAGTGGTCCCATTGTATAGTCCTTGAGAAGAACATGATAAAATGGATCTAATGGGGATGGGATCTGAACCTCTAAAAGTAAAAGATCATGTCTTTGGGATCTGGACCCCAAAAAGGAAAAGTCTTGGACTTTCCCACATGGCCAAATCTCTGGCTTTTGCCTGAGGCTATAATCCTATCAACTGGCTTTTCATTATTGCCTACACCCAATCTTCCAATTCTCTGTTACCTTTAACCTAGCCTAGCCCTCCATTACCTCCCTATGGCCCCCATCTACTTCCTACCCTTAATCCTATCTATACTTCATTCTCCCTTGGCCATGTGGTCCATCCCTGGTGTTCTGTCACTTCCTTTAGTCACCCCAAACTACCTGGCCACTCCTGGATCCCTCCCACAGTCTTTCTGTATATAAGATCCATCTGGCCTTCATTAAGGTGCTCAGATTCTTTAAGAGTGTAGCCAAGGGCTCAGATTCTTAAGATCTGGGTTGCTTGTATTAGTGATACAAATGCTTAGATTCCTTAAGTCTGGACAATATGGTGGATCTTTAATAAATCTTGTCTTTGTCTGTAAGAACACTTGGGTAGAATTCATTCGGACAGGACCTATGTGTTGTGATTTTGGGGTCCCAGCACCCCTAAACCTCTAAAACTCAACAGATAACAGTCTTCTTAATAAGAAGATACTGGAAGCATGGGGCTGTGGCCACAGTGCTGGTTCTGGAGCCAGAGCATCTGACTCTTCATGATCCATTTGGGATTTTCTCAGTAAAGATACTGGATTGTTTGCCATTTCCTTTTCCAGTTCATTTTATAGATGAGAAAACTGAAGACCTGAGTTCAAATCTTGACTCTATTACTTACTGAGGAAACTTGAGTAAATCTGTTTACCCCTTTGGGCCTCAGATTATATATCTATAAAATTGGGAGGGATGTCAGACTGGAGATAGCTAAAGCCCCTTCTAGCTCTAAATTTAAAAGCCTATGTTCTAGGGACATAACATAATAAAAAACAGCTCACATTTATATAGAGTTTTACAAAGCCGTTCCTCAAAACAACAAGTATTGTAAGTCTGGCTGCCAGAGAAGGATTTACCACTATGAAGTCACAATTTAAGTTTTCTCAAGGTTCTAGGATTAACTTTTTTGGGAGAATATCCTCCTTCCCCTCTTTTTCCTTCATTCTCCTCACATTATAGTTCTCAAGCCTCCTCAGTATATTTCTGTTTATACAAAAAAGTCACTTACAGTAATGATATCATTATATCATACACATAGCTATTTAACAAAAGGCAAAATAAATAATAATGATAACATCACAGGTACAGGGGCAGATGCTTCTGTGATTTCCTGGCTTCTTTCAAGACATGGCTTAATCTCTCCGTTAGAACATACACTCTCTGAAGACAGGGCCTGAAGAGTAGTGACCACTCTGAGGCTACTTCCCCAATTATCCTTCAGATTGATGGTCAGTGGTCTCAGAGGGTGGCTGACTACTTTTCTCTTTAGGGTTCTAGGGGTAACCTTGAGGCTGGAGTTTCTAGTAATATTTTTCATATGCACCTAAAAGTATGCATCCATTGACAACCAGGTGACCAAATTTCATTGGGTTTTTAGAAATGCATGTTTATTGAGGTGATTTTTTGGTACAAAGCCTCCTTCTAAAAAGCCAGGTATATGTTTTCCCACAAGGTACATGGGAGAGTAGTCTTAGTTATTGAGTATAATGATAGTGAAGCACATATATAGAAAATGGCAAAGGGTGAACTCATAACTAGATGGAACAGTGTATAGGTGCTGGCCTTGGAGTAAAGAAAACTGATTTCAAATCGTCTCATATACATTTACTAGTTATATGAGCCTAGGCAACATCCTTAACCTCTCAGCTTTTTTTCATTTATAAAGTGAAGAAGTTGGACTTGGTGACCTCTACAATCTCTTCCATCTCTAAATCTATGATTGCATGGTTTTTGAAAGTCTTTCTGGCACCCATAACAGGCATTCTTTTCTAGTTCAAGGGGTCAAGTGCTTTGAAGCTGTTTCTTTCCTTGAGTAGGTATTTTTCTGCTTCTGTCTATGTACATGTTTGTCAGTCTTTGCACTAGCCATCCCATATACCTGGGATGTACTCCCTCTTTACTCCCTCAGAATCTTTCTCTTCCTTTAAGGCACAACTTAAGCACCATCTGCATGAAGCCTTTCCTGATCCTCCCAACAGTTAGTTGCATCCCTCCCAAGTTACCTTGTATTTGACTATTTTGAACATATTTGGATTTATGAATGCTATACTTATATGGCTATAAATTTACATATGTACTTATTGTCTCCCCCATTGGAATGTAAGCTCCTTTGAGTAGATTGTGGCATTCTCTGTACTTGTATCCCCAATGCATCATATATGCTTGTTGACTGATTAACTGATGGCCCCCCGAGAGCCTGTCCAACTTTGACGTTCTATGGTTCTTTATATTTTCATACAGCTTAAGATATATTGTTCCTAAAGGGTGTTCACATACCAATGAAATCATAAGTCCTTGATGTATTGACATGACCTTGGGTAAGTCAGTTTCTCAGATACTCTGGAGCAAACAATACTTGAATTACTTACTTCACAGCTTGCCTGAGAGAAAAGCAATTTGAAAGCCCTTACATGTTAAAGAAATGTGGGTTTTGATGCTGAGTTATAGTTCTAAGTTTTTTATTTTTGTTTTTTGTTTTTTCCCTTTAGCCAGTTCTATTGTTGAAGTTAGCAGAGACAGCAGCAGTAGTAGTTTTCTGTGGATTTTTTAAGACGGGTAGGACAGTTCTAGGGCTGCTCACACCCATCTTGTTTCTCAAGTAGTGATTAATTAAAGTTTTGACTTAATTATAGCGCCTGGTTGCTGTTTCATTTCTCAGAATTCTTGCATCAGTCAGGAAGTAGGGGCTGATAGTGTGTGTGCTCTTTGCTATGGGGGAAGGGAGGTTACAGTAGGGAGAATACTTCCTCTAAGCTGTCAATCTTCACGACTGGGCATAGACTTTGTCTTAAGGGCAGGGAGGGTTTTAGAATGGTCCAGTCTGGTTGAAAACTTAGTACAGTTAGGGGGGCAAAATGCTTCCCAGCTGCTCACAGCTCCTAACACTTTTCCCTGGTGGATGGTTGTCAGCTTGGGGAATTGTTAACTCTCTTTACCCTACCACACCTCTTCCAGCTCCCTACAGAGCTCTGAATTTGTTCCTCTTCTATTGTTAACCACGGATCGAATTTCCTACTTTTGAACAAAATGTAGAAATAATTCTGGTTTCAAACACTCAGATCCTTCAGTAACACATTCTTCACATTTCTGTTACTGTTCCAAATAATTGCCAAATGTGGTGGTAAATACCTGTAATCTCTGTTACTTGGGTAACAGGCTGGACCATCTCCTGAGTACAGGACTTACTACAGTGGACTAAAGCTGATCAGGTGGCTGCACTAATTCCAACATTTATATTCTGAGCCCCCAGGGGCAGGTGACTACCAGGTGGTCTAAGGAAGGGTGAACCAGTCTCATGTGGAAATGGAGCAAGTCAAAGCTCCCATGTCTACTAGAGTGGCCCCTGCCTGATCATGATAGGAAGACTATCTTTAAAATCATCCTTAAGTTTAGACTACCATCTTGTTTCTTCAACCTGTTTATTCTTAAATATGCAGCATAGAAATTCAAATCTGAAAATTTTCTTAAAATACTCCTATCCCAACTTCAATTAATAGATTCTAATGATATGAAAAGAATTGGTACACAAAAAAATGAATCTGCCTTCTACTATCTCTTTCACTCTACACCAGGTTAAACATTTTTGGATAATTTTCTTTATATGATTAATTTATAGGGGAATCTATTTTTTAAACTAAGCATGCAAGACAGGAAAAAAAATCAAATAAAAACTATAAGTTAAAAAGGTAACTTCATTTTTTCCCTCTTCTTCACAGAATCACAGAATTAGATTTGGAAGGGACCTTAGAGGGCTTCTTTCCCAAACTAAATAAGAATATTCTCTATATTATCCTTGACAAGTGGTCATCCAGCCTTTTGCTTGAAGACCTTCTATATAGGGAGTTGAAGGGCAGAGGATGCACTTCTCTCCCCAAGCCTTCCCACTCCACTTTTGAATATCTCTGCTTGCTATGCAGTTTTTCTGTGAGCTCATAAACTTGGCAGTGTCCTCCAGTGAGGCAGGTGTCTTCCATCCTATGCAATTCTTGATTGTTCACAGTGAGGGTCTAACCAAGATGCTGGAGGCCATCCTGGTCTGAATTCAGAAGATATTAATGGAGCACTCTCATCGTCAAACTGTTATCAATTGACCTCTGCTGGTGACTAGACTATCTTCTCTTTAAACCTAGCATGTAACTAATTCTTAAATTTATCTTTTTTTCAACTTCAGTCTAATGCACTTAGGTTTATCCTCTGGGGCCAAACAGAATAAGCTGAAACCCTCTTCCACGTGACTACATTTCAGCTACAGAAAGTAGCTTCTTCTTTTTCTCCAGACTAAACATTCCCATTTTCTTCAACTATTTCTCATTAGTCCAAAATTCATTGCCCTTCCTCATTCTGGTTGCCTGACTCTTGAAGGCAGAAATTCACTTACATTTAAATTAAAAAGTGAAACACCAAACTTTATTTAACTATGACAACAAGTCCTAAGAGAGAATAAATTTTCTACGTTGGATATGGTTTCAATTAAGGGAAGGGTAGAATTTAGAGGAATGTGGAGAGGGAAAGAAGGAGAGGAAAAGAAAGTATTAAAGGAAAAGGGAAAAAGAGGGAGGACTGAAAGATAGAAGAGGAGGAAGACAGCCACTCACAGAAGTAGGGAGGAGCCAAAACGGCATAAACAAAGGTGGTTAGTCATACACCTGGGGAAGACAGGAAGAGTAACATAGATGGGAAATACAATTGGAAATAGGAAAGAGAGGAATGGGCTGGTGAGAGAGAAGCAGAAGGTTCTAGGGCAAGTGTTAAAAAGTAGGCATTCTTCAACAATTTACTAGAGTGATAACCTATTATGAATCAGTTGATTAATTAAAGTGATAATTTCTTATCATTTAGTTGATTAACCCATGGTTCACAGGTCATCGGTCTTTATTCATAAACCTCCAGAAGGTCTCCTCTGAACAAGGTAATAATAGCAACTCACATTAATATAACATCCCTCACAATAACCCTTCGAGGTAGGTATTGGAAGTGCTATTACCCCCACCTTAGAGATGAGGGAAGAAACAGAAGAGTCACACAGGTTAAGTGACATGCTCACCGTCCCAAAATTAGTAAGGATCAGACAGAGCTGGGATTCAAAAACTCATCAGATTCCAAGTCCAGAGCCTTACCTCTCCAGAATAACTCACTAATGGAGTGATTTTCTGTGTGTATGTGTGTGTGTGGGGGGGGGGGCACTATAACTCCTCCAGCTGTATGAAATTAAGTGGAAGGCCTAGAGGTGCCCTTTCTCTAATTTATGGTGTTGAGTGGCTAATAGGAAACTTAGGCTACTAATTCACTATCAGTAGGTCATGCACTTTGCACTTTATTTAGTAGTGGTGATTTATTATGCATGCATTTATTATTATGCATTAACTATGAGCCCAGCACCATTGATGAGCCCGGCAATGTAACTATGGAGATCAGAATTACAAATATTTTTAAAGTAATTATAGTGGGAAAAGTGGATACATTGTTTTATGAGGTCAACAACCTTTTAACCATCTCACTATGAGGGCCGAGATAGGCACTGATTCCATTGGTTGGGCTAAGTCACAGGAGAGAGAAGGAATCATAACTACTTAAATTTATACAGCATTTTAAGGTTTGCAGAGTGCTTTAAAACTATTTTATCATTCGAACCTCACAATTACCCTGTATTATACATATTATTATCCCATTTTACAGATAAACAAATTGAGACTCACAGAGGTTGTATCTTACCCAAGATCACACAGCCAGTTGAATGTCAGAGAGAATAGGATTTTGAAACCAAGGTTTTCCTTACTCCAAGCCCAGTGATCTAAAGAGAGTTAAAGGAAAAGTAGAAATGAGAGGAGAGCAAAACATATGTACAATGTGGAAAGCAATGGAATGCTTCCCTCAATTGCCTCAGGGGTGCCCTGGAACCAGCTCTAACAGGATCAAAATGTAAACATTTCCCCAGCAGAAACTGGCAAAAGTTACAAATCAGGGTGTGATGTACTGTTTTGTTGATTGTCTGGACTTAAGAAAGTATTGAAGAAAATCTTAATAATGCAGATTAAAGTTTAAAGTGTGTCTTGTTTTCTGAGAGAGTCCATTGTTAAACATTTACTAGCAGGTCACTGAACTATTTGTTACCATTCCTTCACTGGCATTCCTACTGGTAGTGGTCAGCCTCTGGAATAGTATAAAAATGTATGCAATGTGCTGATGGAAAATCTCTGTATTTTCTTACTTGGAATTGAAATTTTCTTTTTTAAAGAGTATGTATATTAGCTCTCCACTAACAGTGACTCCATAATAGAATAAAATTCTGTTTCCTGTCTTGGCTACTCAGCAAGGAAGGCATTGAGTTAACCCTGGGTTCTACAGAGCTATGTAAAGTACTGGATCTGACAGATCTTCCCAACCTATGAAGTTGAGTGCTGGCCAGAGGACTTATCTGTGAACCAGCCTTCCTTGGACCAGCCTACCTAAGAGTGAAAGGCTGTTTGTCAAAAGGTGATAAATTTCTGGGCCCAGCTACTGCTACTGAGTCACTGTATTCTCCCTAGGTAAAAGAATTCCTGAAGAAATTTTATAACTTCTCATTTTCTCTATTCCTGCATAGATATAGAGGCACAGGCCTAGGGGTCTCGAATCATTATTATCATCCTCATCCCCACCAAAGCTCTGGGGCTACTGAGAGGCAAAGACAATCCCTTCAAATTCTAAAGGGGGAGACAACGAGCAAACAATAGGCATAGCAGTGTAAATGAGAGTCTCTGCAGAGAGAAGGCACTAGCAGTGGGGAGAACCTGGGAAGAGTTCTAGCGGTAGGTGAGATTTGGGTGGGTCTTGAAAGAAGCCAGGGAAGGTAGGTGGAGTTGTGAGGAGGGAGAGAATTTTAGACTTGAGGGTCAGCCCAGCATGGGGGGTTTGTGAGAGTGTGGTGTGAGAGGAACAGCAAGAAAGCGGGGCGTTGCTGGATATTACATAGATCAAAGTGAAAGACGACTGAAAGGCAGGAAAGGAACTGATTGTGAACAACTTTAAAGGCCAGAGGATTTTTATTTGATTCTGGAAGTAACAGGGAGCAACTGGAGTTTATGGAAGTGAGGATAGGGGTGACATGGTCAGACCCTTACTTGAGTTTGAAATCTTGGGTTTTTTTTTTTACCTCTGATCCTGGATAAAGCACTTCAATCCAGGTTCTTTCATTTGTAAAGTCTTCCAGATCTTTTACCGTACTATGAATGCTCTTTTTGGGCGCCAAGCATTATGCTAAGAGCAGAGGATACAAATTCAAGGACTGTCCCGGACCTCTGTGCTCCCTTCCTAGCCACTCCCTTCCTCCCACTCTCCCCTTTCAAAACCTACAATTAGGGTGTGTGTGGTGGGAAGAGCATGGCATTTACAGCCGCAGCAACCGGCCTTTGAATCCTGGTTGTTTTTCTTCGAGACTGTGTAACTTTGGTGACTTTCACACCTCTCTCTGCCTCAGTTTCTGTAAAACGTGTTAAAGGATTCTCAGGGCCCTTTCCAGCTCAAAACCTTTTGAGTTTGATTATCTGATTTTCAACAGATGCCATCTCAATCTCTTCTGTCAAGTCCCTTCTACAACCACGCCAGGGGGCCAAATCTCCAGTCTGTCCTCTAGAGCTAAGGGCTGGGAAGGTGCATAGGTGGATGGAGGTGTGGATCTAGGTGAAGGAGGACAGGAAGAGGACTGGAGAAGGACAAGGAGGAGGAGAGGGCGTGGAGGACCAGGGACCGGGGGAGGAGGAGGAGGGGAGGGAAAGGAAGGGGAAGAGGTGTGGGGAGGAGGAGGAGGAGAGAGGGGGAGGAGGAAAAGGAAGGGGAAGGAGGAGGAGAGGTAAGAGGAGAGGGGGAAGGGCGAAAAGGGACAAAAGACAGTGGTGGGCACGCCAAGTGTCACCTTCAGAATTTAGGCAAGAGGGTGAGGTTCCCAGGCCCGCCCCCAGCTTTCTCCCCTCCCCCTGCTGTGCGGACGTGTCGGCGTGATGACGAGACACCTGTGACGTCACAAGGGGCGGGGCGAGCCAGGTCTGACTGCCTGGATCCGCGGCTGGGAGGCAGAATTGGTCAGTCGCTGCCTGGGGCTGGAGCTTAGTGCACACTCTCTCGATCTGCCGGCCTCCTTCCCACCTCACCCGGCCACCCTCCCCCCAGTCTCTCCTCGGATCCCTTGGCACGCTCGCGGACCCGGTGGCCCGGCGCGTGTGTGTGCGTGTGTGTGTGTGTGTGTGTGTGTGTGTGCGCCCGCGCGCGCCCAGGGCTGGAGGTCGGCTCACGAGCCGAGCAGCGCGGAGCCTGCTCTTCCCGGCTTTCTTTTTTACAAGGCGGGGCGTTTGCAGCGAGCGCTCCTTTTACTCCCTTCCATTAAGTGGGTAGCTGCGGGTGCGTTGGCCCGAGTCGGGCCGTGTGGTCCGGGGTGCCCCTTTTTCGTGGCTCCTTCCGTTTTTTTGCAGCTTCGATCGCTCCTCTTTTTTTTTCTTTGGGGGAAGCCCGGGTGGGTTGATTAGACGGCCGCCGTCCGCCCCCGCCCCCCAGGGCTTCTTTGTAGCCTCTAGGCCGCCTAAGGTCGAGCCTCGCCTGTCCTCCCCCCGCCCCCTGCCCCCGAGGGGTGGGATGCTTTGTCCTCTAACCGGGTCACAGCCGTAGCAGCAGCCGCCACCACCGTCGCCGCCGCACCTGCAGCCGCTCTCAATATGAATGGGGCGAACGACCCGCACTTCTTTATAAAAGATATTAAGCCCGGACTGAAAAACTTAAATGTCGTCTTTATTGTCCTGGAGATAGGTAAGTTGGGTCCCGGCCGCTGGAGCAACACCCCCTCCTTTCCCAGGCTGCTGCACCCCCCTCCCCCCGCCCTGCCCTCCCCACGGGGAGGTGCTTCATGCGTGTCGTTACCCCCCCCCCGTCCTCACGCACGTGGCCGCTTCCCCGAGTCCCAGATGTGGACCTGCTCCCGTGCCACTCGTTAGCTTTCTCCTTTCCCCCGTGGGAGGGAAGGGGTGACCTCGTCGTCTCTTCTCCCCTTCCTTTGGGGGAAGGCTAAAAAAAAAACAACCCTCCCCGAGTACGTGGAGAGGAGCCCTCGTCGAAAGTCTCTTCCTTAAAATAACATGACCGGAATCTCCCCCCCCCCAACCTCTCTCTGGATATTTTAAATTCTCGCAGGACGAGTGACCAAAACCAAAGACGGCCACGAAGTACGATCGTGCAAAGTAGCAGATAAGACGGGAAGCATCACTATTTCGGTATGGGATGAAATCGGAGGTCTTATCCAGCCCGGGGATATCATTCGATTAACCCGAGGGTAGGTGTGCAGAAAGTGGAGTGTGGGCTGCTCCTCCGAGTACATACGTACACACATCCATGATCAAGTTTATGAAGCATTCACAACCAGACGAGCAAAAATACACCTTTGCCACTAAAGCAATAGGTTTCAGTTGGCAGTTGATTCTGACCTCTAAAACTATATGAGCCGAGGGTTTTAGGTTGTATTCGGGGAGTAGCAGTAAATTGGGCTTTTTAATAGATTAACATCCTGTCCATATGATGAGTGTCTGGAGTGAGCCACTCATTCAGAATCTGTCAAAATTTTACCAGGTGTATGTATATTTACCTGGTACCTGGAAGAGGACAAACTTGAGTTGGAGAACTTTTTGTTAGTACATCAAAAGTAGGCTGTAATCATATACTTAGCAAGTGTGACATTTATATTTTAGGTAGGCAGAAACAATGGCTTGGCCTCCTTTGTTTGGTAAACTTAAGTAATCATCCTATGCTTTTTTGTTTTCTTGCTCAGATCCTCATTAGGGGAGAATGACATGTAACATTCTGGTGAGGTAAATTGGGGAAAAAAATAGCATAGTAGAATGATTTATTGTGCTAAGCACTATTATTTAGAGTGCAAAGCAAAAATAAAATTAACACATAGGAGTTATATAGTGCAAAAACTTAGTGCCAGCATCTATAGGAACAAATTGATGAATTTACTTGGGGGTGGGTATGACAGGAGATAAAGATAGAATATCCAGTAAACTAGGAAGTAGGATTTGAAAGTTTTTGCAGTGAGATTGTTGTAATATTTTCGTGAGTCATAACTACAGGGAAGTAGGGTGGCGATTGATAATAGTCATAATAGTATAATGTAATGAGGCATGTTACCTTGATGCTGAGGAACTCAGAACATTTAACAGGCATTATCTTAATATTTTTATAACATCTTCAAGAAGCAAGCCTAAGAGTTTGTATCTTCAAAGCAGGAAGTTGGAGACAGGCTTTATTTTTGGCTGTATATTTGATTCATTGATAATGCATGAAGTAACATTGAGATATAAGTGACTGTGTAAGACTTTGCCTTCATAGCTAGATAAAGAATTCATAGAGATTATCATAGATATAATTCCTATTTTGGTGGGGATGGTGAAGCTTAAATAACATTTAGAATGTTAGCATTCCCATGCTTTTACCTAGGATTAATAAAAATATTAGATAATTGATTTTTCTTCCAAACTTTACTTCTCTCAGGTGTGTATTTGAAATCTTGGCTTTTAAGAAAGATTCTTTTAGTAGTAATTGTTGATAGCTTTTATTTAGAATTGTAGAGTTGGAAGGGACCTGACTAATTATTAAAAATAATAATAAAAGCTAGCATTTATATAATGCTTTAAGGTTTGCAAAATACTATACAAATATTTTCACTTGGTTCTCTAAAACAATCCTTGGAGTAAAGTGCTATTATTTATCCCCATTTTATAAAAGAAGAAACTGAGGCAGAGAGATTTGGTCAATAATAGCCCAGGGTTACACAGGCTGCATTTGAACTCGGGTCTTCCAGATTCCAAGTCCAAAACTCTTAATCTTCTACTACTACCCAGCTGTAGTAGCTTGCTTCCCTCAGTTTTACAGATGAAAAACCTAGTCTCAGAAATTAAGTTATTTGTCCAGGTTACAGAGTAAGGGACAGAGTCAGGATCTGAGCCAAGGTCCCTCCAACTAAGTACATACCAATCTTATTCCACTGTACCAGACCCTTGTCTGTGTTAAGGTAGTACTTTCTTTTACACAATGGGGTTTTGAAGCAGACATGTAGGACTTAGAGCAGGAAGCAAATTAGAGATCAACTCCCTCACTTTTGAGAAAACTGAAAGTTAGAGAAGTGAGTTTTTTAAAGTCACATGGAAGAGATAGGAGCCTCTCTCAGGTGCCTTGACTAAATTCATTGCCATTTACTCTGTACCTCTAGTTTGAAGAGATGAGACAAAATGTAAGGAATAACAAAAATGGTTTTCAAGTAAGGTAACTTCTACACACATTAGACATAGAGTAGTTTGTTTTTTGTGACCTCCATAGTAATTTTCCCCCCCAGGAAAACCCTGCATACTTGGTATTTTAACTCAAGTGTTAATTGTAACACTTCACAAAGATTTGCTCTTGCCAAAAACAAAAAAAACCCCCAAAACCCCAAACTTTTTACATTGGTAAGTAGAACTACTGAATATCAGTCTAGTGTGTGTGACTGAGGCAGCACTCTTTATTATTGAAGAATTCAGCCAAAGGAAAATTAACAGTCTAGGAATGGAGCTGGAATCCCAAAGCATAAACTGTTGTATTAACAGAGACTGCACTCTCAACCATTTGTGTAGAGAAGGGGATTCCACAGATGAGGGCGGCTAAAACAGTATTTCACCAAAGGTCAGGCCTGGTGCTATTAATGTACTATATGGAAGGAATTGCTGTTTTGGTTAGATAATTTGACATTTACAGTATGTTATAGTGTAAACTGAGAAGATTGATACATTCTCAAGTATAACTTAATGTATGGTGCAGTAAAGCAGGGCATAATGAAGCTCAAGGATTTTTTTAAATTAATCATTTTTATAGATTTTCCTTAAATTTGAGAAGCTTGTCCTTCAGATTTATATAATCTGCCTAAACTATCTGTCACCCATAATTATACAAACTGGGCAAACCTTAGACAAATTAATTTAAAATAGCTTAATGCTCAAATTCAGTGCAGAAAAACATTTAATTGAATATAAAATCTAAGACCTTAAATGCCTCTTTGTTCAGTTTTTAAATTTACAATCTGGATCATAGATTTAATCTAGAAAGGATTTTAGTGTCCTGAATTTTACCAGTGAGAATAGAGGCCCAGTACAATATAATCCTTGCTCAGGTTCACAAAGTAGTGAGAGAACAGGGATTAAAACTCAAAACTCCAGTTTAGGCAGCACTGATTAGCCACATTTCTAACCTTTAGTTTTGTTTCTGTTGTATTTAAATCTTAGCTTTTTTATGATTAAAAAGCAGTAAATTGTTTTCCCTTGGCTGATATATTATCTTCTCATGGGACATAACCTCATAGGTCATATATTGAGGGCTGGAAAGAACCTCAAAGGCCTGTCCCCTTCATTTGATGGGTTTGAGGATGCTGAGGACCAAAGAGATGGAATTTTTTTTTTTTTGGCTAAGCAATGGGGTTAAGTGACTTGCCCAGGGTCACACAGCTAGTAAGTGTTATATATCTGAGGTCGGATTTGAACTCGGCTCCTCCTGAATCCAGGGCTGGTGCTCTATCCACTAGAGATAGAATTTGTTGGATGGATGCAGAGCCAGTGTTTTTTTTTTCTATACCACACTGCCTCTCCTAGTATACCTTTTCTTAGGATCTTATGCAAGAAGACATTATGTACAAGCTAATAATGTTGTCTTTAATACATTTGCTCTTACTACACCTACAAAACGCCATCAGCACAGTAAGCTCAGTAGTAAATGCCAAGCACTGTGGTAGGTAGGCCTTGGTGGTAAAGTCAAAAAAAGAGAAAGTTACTGTCAAAGATGAAGGGAGAGGGAGACATACCTAAGCATATATGAAGTAACCTAAATACAAGATAATTTTGGGGAGGGGGGCATTAGAGAAAGTCATTCTCAACTGAGGAGATATGGAAAGAGCTCAGGCACGTTGTTTGATGAAGATTTTGTGACTTCGCATGTACAGATTGGAGTTGGGAAGACTTGAGTTTGAATAATTGCTAGCTCTGTGACCTTTGGTACATCACTTAACCTCTTAAACTTCAGTTCTGTTAAAGGGGGAGATGATAACACCTGCTTTACAGAGTTATTGTGAAGATTAGATGAATCGACACACACAAAGCTCTTTGCAAAATGGAAAGTGCTTTTCATGCTGTTATTCTGAAGGTTTTTGTAAGTGGTCAGGAACTAGAATAATATTGCCCTAGTTGGCTAGATTCCCAGGTCAACCCACAAATCCTCTTTAATCCATAATACTCATTTAGTATAGTGTTATTTGAGTAGAACTATAGAACTTCAACTATTGTAACGTCGTTTCTGTGCAAAGAGCCTTTCTACCTGGACCCCATTTTGGGATGCTAGTCACACATGCCCCATCCTCTCCCCTTCCCCACCTACCCCAACAAACAAATAATAAAAGGGAAAAAGCATACATATATCACTTAGTTGTAGGAGTAGGGAGCCCTCTGATGCACTCTTGTGGTAGTTGCCTGGTAGGGATCAGGCTTCTGGAGGTCAGGCTGATAGTAAGGAGATGGTGCCAGGGCCTGTGACCTTTTGCCAAGTGCCCTGTCATCCCTTTTATTTTCCATTGCCATCCCATTTCTTTGACTAAGGTTTCTGACCCCAGTGTCTGGCAAATGGAAGGCAGTCTATAGCAAGTCCATAATCCATTTTGTGGTTTTCAGAGTTTTTTGCTTTATAACTAGATTTTCTTCCCATCTTGGTTAAGAGTGTGTGAGGGAAGACTGTGGTGTGCTTACATGGTAATGGGTAGGTACTTGGGAACACCATTTGCATTTTTTACTAGTTCAGCAGCTCCCTTGAGTGTTTTTTGGGTATTTCATCACCTGGGCAGAATTGGGCCTTGAGGGTGGGAGGCAGGGTGAGAGAAACAGGAGGTATGTGATAGAAGGGGGTGGGGGTGGGGGTTGTTGGGAGGGAGTGAAGCACTTGGTTTTGTTGGGTTCCCTCTTTACTCCCGTTAATTGTAGCCTACACTATGCCTGCCTTGGAGAAGGTGGGAGGCAGCTGCTCCAGATTACGCATTAAGATGAATTGGGGGGAAGGGGAATTGGAGGAGAGGAGGAAAGCCCCTAGCATTTGGAAGGAAAGGAAAGGGAGTTCCTGGAGATACCCAGCTGGGTTCCCAGGAGATTACTGGTCTGTTTGGAAACCAGTTAATTCAGGGACCCGCCTGTATATGGTTGGAAAAAAATGTTTCCTTTTTTGGGTGATGCCATTCACATAAAATGATCTACTTAAAATATTTACTGAGTTTAGGCGAGTCAGTATTAGTTTGCCAAAATGAATGACTGCTAGTGTGTCTCCTTGCTTCATGATATGATTATAAGTTCTTCAGCCCTTCTGTCATTTTTGATAAATTCTAGCTTCATTTCTTGGCTTTTAAATTAAGAATGGCATATTTTCTGTGGTGAAATCAAATTAGTTTCTCTATTAGGGTGCTAGCTTTAATGTAGAGTAATAGTTTAATTGTTATGGGACTAATGGAAACTGTAAAAGCCCTGAACTTTATATTAAATAGAATTTATTTTGGATGTAAATAGGATGTTTTTTTTCTTATGTCATGCTTGGTTTTTAGCATACTAGGTTGCATCAGCACCCACTCATCCAGATTAGTGATTAAAATTTTATGTGAAGGAAGGCAGGTGAACCTTTCCCCCCAAATCTTGCCAATTTTTTGGCACTTTGATTAAACTAATAGTAGGCCTTCATCTTCTGATGTGGAGGAAAAAATGTTGACGTGTGGCTAGTGTGAGTAAAGTATAGCATTAAGCACAAGAATGCTGTTATTAATTTCCCCTGGCTGAATTAATAGTATCTGCCTGATGGAAGAGAATGCAAGAGAAGAAAAGGATCCAATACATTGGGTTGACCCTTGTGGCAAATTAAAGACATGGAAAGGGAGAGTTGCAAAATATTGACAGGAATGGATGGATGGGTGGTGAAATTAGCATCATTAGAGTGGAGAATCCTTGTTGAGATCAGATCTTAGTTCTGTGAGAATAATGGAGTCAAGCTCCTGGACCACATTCAAGAAGAGCATTTTGCAATGCATGTAGGTAGACACATAATTGATTCTTGTTTGTCCTCCTCAGATATGCATCCATGTGGAAAGGATGTCTGACTCTTTACACAGGAAGAGGAGGTGAACTTCAGAAAATTGGGGAGTAAGTATTAAAATGTGGAAGCTATGATGTACTTAACATTTTGTAAAATGAATGGTAGGTATGAAATACAACTTATCTGGAGGTTTTTTTTTTTTAATTAAAAAATGAGAGTTGATGCTGTTTGATAGCTTAACTGTAACATGGATGGTATGTTAAATCTGTTCATTTGTTTTAGTTGTGTACCTACTGAATTTGTTTCTTACATGGTTGGTCTCAGTTATTCTAGCAAAGAACAGTAAGAAGCTTCTTCCCTAAATCTCTCCCCAGAAGGACCATTCCTGTAGGCCTTTGGTACATGATTTTTCCAGGAATCATAATGGGCATTTACTGATATCAGCTGCTGTCTTCTAAAACACAAAAACAAAGCATGCAGTATTTACCTAGATATAAGTTACAGGCATAAGTTAAAATTTGATTTTTTTCTGTTATTGGGTGAATGTGTGCTCATGTTAAAAGGACTAGCAGCACTGAAAAATTGAAGCCCTCTATTTATTCACAGTCTAGGTACGGTGCAGGCAGCCGCAATGCGAGCTTCCATACACTGCCCTGGTAATGATCTCCACCTTGACCTGGAGGGACCATCCTCTCTGGGGGTGTAAAGGTAATCCAGCCTCCATGCTAGCCTAGTCATTGGGATGCATTAATATGGTATATATAGTGACCCAAGTAATTATTCCATTCAGCTTTTGATTAGGGCTCAGGAAAAAAAAAACCCACAACCATTTAATTTGAGGCCATACATCAGACTGGAGACTAATTTTTGAAAGAAAAGTCGTTCAAAAGAAGTCACATGTTACAAAAAGCTTTGTAAAAGTAATTTGAAAATCCACAGAGAGCGGAATAAGCTTTGTTCAGGAAAGCTGTCAATAATGATGAAAGGAGAATGCCATCAATTTGGTTCAGAAGCTGGTAGCACTTTGTGTGATTTAGGCCAAAGGAAAAGGTGGTTTCTTTACATCTGTCTGTCTTGGTGTGTTACTGTGTCTAATGTTGAGTGTTACAGGAAGATAAAAGCAAAGGTATGGGACACTGGTCATCTCATCTGTTCAGGAATAACTGAAATTAGTCCTGTTGAGAATGGTAGGAATAAAAGACCCAAAAAGAGGTTAAATGCTTAAGCCATTCAAATTCTGAAATGACTTCCAAGGTGGTATGTTGCTTTTTGGTGGTTCCAAATATATTTTTCCTTTTTTTTTTTTAAACAGGCTAAGAAAATGATTGGTTGTAACAATATTATCTGTATTTAAGTTAAGAGTGAGTAAACATGAATGTGTGAATTGCAGCCTACACCGCTATTTATGAATAATATTGTCTGCCTCATTTATGAATAATATTGTCGTTGGGAGACCAGAGATAGGGAGTTTGGATTGTATCTAGATACAGCCATCCACAATGGAGAACTTTTGAGCATATGCTGTATACCAAAGTATGGGTCAGTAGAATAATTTGTTGATTTAAAGAATACCACAGGAATGTTTTAATGTTTCTGATACTCGATGTTGAATAATAGTTCATTGTAGATATAAAACCATACAACTAAAATAGTAAATAATGGAGGAGTGACATTTGCAGGTTGTGCTGAATAAATACTTTAATGTGTTTTGAGTTTCTTTTATTGTTGTAAGGATATATGTGGCTAGCAGGAAAGGAGTAGAATTTTGACTTATCTTTGACAGCTTATACTAATTGTTGAATTTGGAAGCAAAGAAAGAATTCTTATTTAATTGATTTTCCCAATCTAGAAATCCTCCAGTTGCCTCTTTTTTTTTTTAAATCGCAACAGCCATCTAACTTTCTGCTTTATTTTCAGATTTTGTATGGTATACTCAGAAGTGCCAAACTTCAGTGAACCTAACCCAGACTATCTTGGACAGCAGAACAAAGTGGTAATTAACAGTTTTATGAGCAAACTGCTTTTTTGCTACGTACTACAATTTTATGGATCAGTTATTAACAACCATGTTTTCTTGACACCTTAACATGTCTATAATTTCAGAAGGTAATATGTAATTCTTAAATCTTAAAGTATTTGTCTTCAAGTACGTACGTACACAAAAACTTCATGCATGTATATGTGTGTACGTATATATGTATGTATAGTATGTATGTCATTTGCCATTTTGAGGAGTGGGAAAGGGATATGAGGAAATTTAGTAATTGTATGTGTGTTTACATGCATTCATTGTATGAATAGTTTCCACAGAAGTACTGTTGATTTGAGAATTGTACTTGGGCAAACTTTTAGAAACAGTAAATGGGAATGGGTAGAAACTAAAAAACTTGCATTTCTGTGAGCTTTTGGTACATTTCACAGTCATCCAGTTTTTCTTTGATGCTATTTACTTAAATCTTTTTCTTAACATTTTCCTCAAGGCACATGGTGAACAAAAAAATAATTCTTCAGCAAGTAATATGGGTACAGGTACATTTGGGCCAGTAGGTAAGTCTTTGTGTTGTCTACTACATGTGAGGTTGAAGAATATGTGTATTTTGTAGAATAAAACTTAAAACTTAATTTGTGAGTTTGACTTTTAGGAAAAAGCTGTTACCAGAAGTATGTAAACAGACGCTTTTACCATTGAATTTATAGAACTCATTGTCCTGGTAACTTCATTTGCCATAAACTGGTTCTTTTGTTGGTATATTTAATTGTTTCATGTTTATAACTTAGCTTTTCAAATTTAACTATGAATTATTCTCCTTTAAAAGTTTATTTGGGTGAAGAAAGACTAAAATTAACTATTATATTCTTAGTCTTGAAAATAACCAAATAGAAATTTACATTGGGGAACTTGCATAGTGATATTTTGGAGATCAGATTGGTGGAAATTTTATTTCTTTTAATGATCACAAGACTAGTTTATGGGTGATTGCCAGATTTTTTTCCTATTAACTTTTATATCTTTTCTTAAAACTTCTGCACAAACAAAACGATGTATTGTGTCTGTCGGTCTTGATGTTTCAATAATAGTGTCTGCTCGGGCTTTTAACTGCTGTTTTCAGTTCTCTGTCTATCTTATTTTCAGTGTGGGGAGGGGACATCCATTCTTTTTGTAAGTGTTGGTTTCTGACTTTGATAACCTAAGTTAATCTTCCCCCATTTCTTCCACTTGATGAACAGCACCAAGTACATTTTGAAGCTATCACATATGCTTATTTAAAATTTGAAATTATCGGTTTGGGGGGGGGGAAAGAGGCAGTCACTGGAAATTTGTTTTTCTAGTCTAATAGTCTCATGTATTTGTCCTGGGGTGTGTGGGGGTGGTGTGTGTGTGTGTGTGTGGTGTGTGTGTGTGTGTGTGTGTGTGTGTGTATGTATAAGGGGATACTTTATACAGGTGTCAAATGTCAGGATCTGGAACTGGTGATGAATTATTACTGTCGTTTTAGGAAATGGTGTACAAACTGGACCTGAATCAGGGCGATTTCCATTTTCATATAATCATGCCCACTCCTATGCAGGTACTGGGAGAGCCAATGGACGAGGACCTGTAAACCCACAGCTACCAGCAACAGCTAATGTTCAGCCAGTTGTGACCACAATAAGTAATGGGAGGGACCCCCGGAGAGCCTTTAAAAGATGACCTATGCCAAATGTTCACATACAGCTTGCCTAAACTACATGATGCCCTACTTGAACACTTATTGCACTTTTATTTATGGTTATCTGTGAAAAGTTTGTCCTTTATTGGTATGTTTTCATGTTTTGGTTTGTTGAGACAAGTGATTTGTTTTATGATGATGCAATTAAGCTGCTTAAATGCCATCTGAAAGAATGGTCTATAATGGAGGGAAAATAGTTTGGAACAAAAAAAAAGCAAAAAGCCCCACCCATCAACTGCACTCCACATGGGTGTATGGGTCAGCTTTAATAGCCTCTATGAGTCTATCCTCTGTATAAACTTTGTAACTCCTATTTGATTTAATGAGAGGTGGCTTTTTTTTTTTGTCAAATACAGAAGTTGCCAATTAAAGCAATAACTTCCAAAAAATTGGTTAAAAGATAGCAAATGGTTAAATGTCTTGTGACTTCAAGAAAGATTGATTTTTCTGACATAATTCATGTTACTGCCATTAAGATATTTCCAGTGATTGAACAATCTTAGGCTGATCTTTTATTACCTGAAACAGGCTAGCAGAGTTATGAAATATAGCATATTAATGATATATATTATAGCAGGTAATTTTATTTTTAAAACTACATTTATTTTATTTTGGGGCAGGGCTCTCAAAGATTCTTTGGCTTAATGTTATTAAAGGAAGATTTAAAATTGTCCCTTAAGTATTATTTTTTTCAAAGCCATTTTCAAAGTCATCCCTTTTAAAATGTTTTAGAATTTTAAAACTTAAGTCTTTAAGAACATTAAGTCTGACTATTGTGTATTTAATGAGGTTATGGGGAAATTGAACAGAATTCAGGTGGACATCTGCAAACCTAATTATAATTTAATAAGATGCTTACTGTCAAACTACTACAGTTTTAACATGAAAAATACTTGATGTGGATTGAAGTTCCTAGAAACTTCTTCCAAAGAGTTTGTGTCAGACAACTTATTTTAAAAATAGAAATTTCGTCATCAACTTCTAAAGAGTTTCTGGAGAAAATTCACAATGCTTTGTCTATCAGCCAAAGGTACAGGAATGCATCTGGTAGAACTGAGTGTAGCTTTATTCAAAATTGCTTGGAAAGTGGATTTTATTTTCACTTGATAAATGATTTCCATTCAGTTCCACCGTTTATTGTAGGGTGGATTACTAGTGAATTTTTTATTTGTTAGACTTATTCTTAAAGTTGACCCTTTGAATAAAACTTGCACTAATGTTAAAAAACCTATCTAATTCTTTGTCCAGCCTTAAATGTGATGTTGTAGAGAAAAATTGTATGCCATCCACATCTTACATGATTACTTAAAAATATTTTAAAAAATGATCTTCCCTGTGGAGCAAACCCCACGTAAGGGTTATAATCTCTAGGCTTGCTTTCTTGACAGACATTGGTAAAGACTATATTATTGTGGGTATGTTGCTTTTTCTCTTCTCTTTAAATCACAGTGCTTATCTTTCCTGAAAACTACATAGCATTTGGATTGGGGAGATTGATGTCCTGAAATTTTTTCCTTTGCCTTGGTTATAGAATCTTTCATATTTATTTTTGGTGTAGAGATAAGTTTTTCATAGCTTTGTTGTTAGAAGTTCATAAAAATAATCAAAGTATGAAAGCTGCTGCTTTGTCCTCAAGATCGTGCTGAAGGTGGTGCCATTTTCATGATTGGTGTTCATCTTAGGATTTGTGTTGAGGTCGACAATGATGTCTGTGTCTGAAAGATTATTTAATGTATGTAATTTCCTGGTATACTTTATGGTAATGGATCTTTTAAAACATTAATGAATTCCTGCTACATAATGAAATGATAAAAGGAAGAGGTTGTTTAATCTAAACATGCAAGCTTATTTCTAAATCTATTCCTTCCTTTTAATAAGCAAAATCCAACCAGATTGCCCAACCAAACTTCTTTTTTTCAACTTTCCTAAGGTACTTTTTAGTTGTTCATTTTTTAATAATTGAGATTTGGGTTATCTTATTTTTATCATTCTGTTTTTTTCCTAAGAACTTTGCATTTCAGATGCACTTCAGATGAAGAAAGCAAAACCATTTGGTATGAAGCAGTGATGTAAAGTTCCCACCTCCCCCATCTCATTTCCCCCCCCTTGAATGAATGGCCTCTATGTAAATTATCTTTCTGTTCTAACAGAGACACATGCAAAAAGTTGTTTGGGAGGATATTTTTTTCACTTTTAAGTAATGTTAACAAATAATTCCAAAGAAAAGTAAAGATATTCACTTTAAAAAAGGAACTAGAAATATTAAACATCTTATTCCTTTACCCACTTGGGTACATTAGCTTTCATGTAGTAGGCATTAGAAAACAAAGGATGTAGGGGGAAGGCTAAATTTGACAGTATTTGCACACTTGCTATAAATGTACTGTGGTTTTTATTGGGAACAATATGTCTGCTTCTTTTGAGGTTAGTGATATTCTTGTTTTACCATTGTTCTCTTTTTTCAGTGCCGTTTATTAATGAATCTCTTTTCTCTTAAGGAAAGACCCTCCAATACCAAAGCAAGTGACTTACAATCTCTAGTGACCTACATTTATCTAACCAGTCTAGTCTACTTGGGCAACACTCATCAAGAAGTCAGAGGAAGAATATTTTTCTGTTTTCCCCTCACTCCATTTTTCACCTAACAACTTAATTTTTTAAAAGATCATGTAAGATGGAAATATTAACATCTACTGGAAAAGTCACTGGATTGAGTTCCCCACATAATTTCTACATCATGGTTAATTCTGAAGTGGATTGAAGTCTCCTCAGAAGAACCAACTTGTTATGGCTTATGCCTCTGCCCTGGGCATGGTGGGGGTAGGGATGGGTGGTGGGTGTTGCAATTTGGGAAAGTGAAAGATGAACAGAGAAACACAGATGAAATGCATTTTGCACAGTTGGTACCTAAGCACTCTAGCATTACCCTGTTATTTCTCTGCTGTTCCTGTTTGTAGCTTTACCACTAAAGGCTTAGAGTTCACACAGGATGTAATTTATATGTTAAAAGTATTAGAAAAGTATGAATACATGTGCAAAGGAAAGAGAAAACATTTTCATTCACAAGGAATTAGACAGATACACATAGATTTTTCCCTCGTAGTTTATAGTTAAGCCCAGTAATAGCCCCTGGCCATTTGAACAGGTCCATCACTTAAGGGCCTGTTTGTAAGGCAGATTGACTATTAACCTGTTGTACTCAATAGTCATCATTAGTAAGACCATAAGTTACCTATTGTGGTATATTTTTTTGTGCAACTGGAGCCATCAATTAGGCTGTTGAAGTTTCAGTCACATATAATATACTATGAGAGAAAAGTAGAAATGCAATGAACAAGTCATTTTTGACAAACATAGTTTGCTAGCACCTGACATTTTAAAGATAATTGGCAAAATCGTAGATTACAGCTTTGTGATATTGGTTACTCTTTCGATGAGGTATGGATCTGGACATGTTTTGCAATTTTAAGACAACCCCATTCTGTATCCAAGTTTTCTCCCTTGGTGTCATGCCACTTTATTTCGTATTCCATGCCTTAGTCTTTTGGGCCCTGCTTTTCCTTTCAGATAAATCTCAGTCTAGTGATTTCAAAGAGTTTACAGGCATGTTCCCAACCACAAGGAGTGTTTTCTTATGTGCAAATGAAATTGCAATCCCTATGTCAGGTGCTGAACTTTCAACCCTGGTTTATGGTAGAAAAAAGCTTGAAAGGTTCTGATTGTGAGCTGTGAAAAATGGCAATATCTCTAATAGGTGCTTGGTAGCCCTGATCTTGTCTTTGGAGAAACCAGAGCTTTTTTTTTTTTTTTGGTGCAGTTGGGAGAGTACCAAATTGACATACTTTGACAACTTTTATGCCTTGTAATTGCAGGTTTTCTCTTCAACTTTCCAATATATTTCCAAATACTGCCTTCATTCTTGTAACCACATGAGCACACTAGATGGAAGAGAGTTTTAGCTTGAGCAGCTTTTGGCCATGTTTCATATTTTGTAATCATGACAGATTTTTGGTGCCTAAGGCCACAAACATAACATGGTAAAGCCTCAATAATTCAGAAAAGAGCAGTCATGATTTACTAGAGAATCTGGAGATTTTAAAGATGCCTTATGTTAACTACAGTGCTGTGTAAGGCTGTTAAGTGGGTGACATTAAATTAGATAAATTTTTTAGAAGGGTTATCACACAAACTGCAAGAGGCCTTTATATTGGACCTACCCATGGAAGGCACAAAGTGTATTGTTGGATCAATTTGTGACTTGTAAAAGGGCTTAGGATTCATATTTTAGCAGCAACAACCTTTACTTAGCTATTATATTTGTAAGTTAGCCAGTTTACTGAGTTTCTTCCAATCTGGGTAGTGTAATGTAATGGTTTTTATGATTATTCCCGAGTTGATTACTAGTGCCATCTGGTTGCAGGACAGAGTTGGCTTAAGTCAGTAGACCAAGGTGGTTTATTTTTGGTGTACAAGACCTTTCTCAATTCCACTCCCCTGTTAAAAATTGGGCAGGTTTAACTTTTGGGGGGTGGTGGTGGTAGAATCAACGTTTAGTCTGCACCTTTGCCGTATTATATGACTTCTGGCAAGTGTACCATACCATAACAATACAAAAATTTTTAACCCAAGTTGACCAACACAATTGGAACATGTTTAGTATAAATCTTCATAAATCTCATAAAGTTTTCGATTAGAATTCCTTTAAAACAACTGAGTTACTTCCCAATCACAACAAAATACTGACACTTTGATTTGATTTTTGCAATTGCCCTGTAAATAGGATAAAGTGGGTATTATCCTCATCTCGTAGATGTCATCATGCCTGAGCTAATGTTAGCATTAGGCTGTAACAGATTTTTTGGTCTGGCTCATTTTTACTGTTACACTGTGCCACCCTTAGTGGGTCAAGGAAAGACTACCAGGTAGCCAGTGGTAGAGGAACTTTGCCAAGGTCTAGCCTATGAAGTGCAAAGTAAGATTAAATTTCAAAGCTTTTTGCTTCCTAAGGAAAAGTCAATTTTGACTCCAAATTTAAAACGTTTCCAGTTTGGTTCACATTGGTAGTTTTCTGTACATCAGTACATTCAACCAGTGTTAAGTCTTTGTGCCATCAAACATTAAACTGATAGATGTGATAGTTGGGGGAAGATAAAGTTTAGATAAGACAATCCTTGAAAGTTTCATGGAGTAATTAAGGCATCAAAAGTATGAGATGGGGTTTGAGGTCTGATTAGGGAGATTCCGAAGGAAGTGGTGTTGAGGTGGTGCACAAGATAGGAAGAGATTCTGTAGGTATAGATGATGGAGGGCTGTCTAAACCAAGATATGCAGGTGGAAGGGTGAATTGCATTCTTCCATTTGTTTCCTGAAGTCTGGTGGATATGAGGATGGGGAAAAAGAATGCTAGCTGTAAAGGGATCCACGGTCTGGCCCTCCTGAAAATAGTGGCATTTATAAAGGCACTTATCCCTGCAAATATTCTGGCATGATTTAAATCAAATTGGTTAAGCTAGGTCTTGAACATTCGACCTAGTGACAAAAATGTAAACAACCCTTTTTTTTCTTGGGGTAGAGTTGCCGGGGGGGGGGGCGGGCGCTGTGGAAAAGAGCCAGGTAGGAGGAAGTGTATACCCACTAGTGTTTTTGAGTCGTGTCAGATTTCATGAACCCATTTGTGGTTTTCTTGGCAAAGATTCTGGAGTGGCTTGTCATTTTACAGATGAGGAAACTGAGGCAAAGTCTTAAGTGACTTGCTTGAAGTAGCATAGCTAGTGTCTGAGGTCAGATTTGAATTCAGGAAGTTTGAGTCTCTCCGACTCCAGGCCTGACACACTAACAGTCCAGTGCCATCTACTGGGTAGATGATACATATTAGAAATTCTGAAGCCAAGAAAGACATTTTAAACTTCAGTTCCTATCTTTGGGCAAAATACTGTCGCTATTGAGATTTTCTGCCTACTCATTTCAGCACCATGTAAGAACTTTAAATGTCAAGAATCTGTTCAGCCCTTTATATTAAAAAAAGAAAAAGATCTGAAATTGTAGCAGAAGCAGTTACCCTGTAGGCTCCAACTGCAGAAATTGGGTTATGAAATCAGAGTGGAAGCTTTCCTTCACACAAAGTAGTTGCCATATACTGGCGGAAAGTGTAATGATTATGAAAAAAAGTGTAATGACTAAAAATAGCTTTTGATAAGTGGTGACTTTGTAAAAACATGAAGTGGAATGTAAGCATTCTTCAAAATTGTATTCCCTTAGCACATTGGTGTTTGTAATGCTAGCCACATGAATGTTAACTATTCATGCTGTGCATATATGAGCTTTTACTAAATATGTGTATGTGTGTGTACATAGTATATATCTATAGCTTTTTACTTACATCTGTGATCTTATTCTGAGCTCCCAGGGGAGGAAACTTCCGATGGAGCTGGGCAACCAACCTTTCTGCAACTGCATTTGCTTATGTCACTGAGAAGTGACTTTTACAGGGTCACACAAACATTAGTCAGAGGCCAGACTAGGATGCAGCTGTTTATTACTCAACTGTTGCCTCAGTGTGCACACCCTCACCCTGTCTGCCCACACCTCCCCCCCACCCCCCGGAATTGTTAGTCATTTCAAAGACCATTATCAGAAAAATGAATTAGCTTGTTTCATTTTGTCTACTGTAATTGCATGGTACTGTTGCCTCTGAATTTTTTCAGTGAGAAATGTTACTTGAGCATTGAACCATGAGTTCTGAGCATACATGAATGTGAGTTAAGTGTTATCAAAGCTCTTTACAACCCAAAGAACATGTAGGGCCTGTGCTCAGCCTGGGTGTTGGAGGATTGACTACCCTTTGGTGAGGTTCTTATGGATCCTAGATCTAGGTAGTCCTTAGCTCTGTGAGTTCCTAAGTGATCTCATCACACCATGGGGTAAGGCTCTGGTGAATCACTTCATGGTAACCAAGCTCACAAGACAGTGATTAGTGCAACAGGATATCAGTGTTAATTTAGGATGGAAGAAAAGGAATCTCGGTGAATTAACTGGTAGCATTGCTTTGCCCAGTATACTCCCTCTTGGCAAATAGGTAAATCTACTCAGGAGACCAAATTATGTATAGACAAGAGGTTGCTTAGCACGGAATAAGAGCAGAGGGAGTTGAATGTTCTGAAGAGATATTTCCATCAGCTTCCTACACAAAGATGTTTCTATCTAAATGACCAATATTGGACTTTAGAATCTGTACCCTCTTTCCTTGTAAAGCACTGGATAGGGGTTTCAGGGAGACTTAAACTGTGAATTGTAAATCAGTCGTATGTGTATTGAGGAAGTCGCAACTATTAGAATCTCAGATACCCGGAGTAGAAAGGGATCTTAGTTTATCTAGCCTTAGGCTCAGGGCTAGCAGGGAAGGACTATAGCCATCATATACTCTAACCCCCTCACTTTATATATAAGAAAGGTAACTTAACCTTGACTTGAAATGAGGTGAAGTAACTTGACCAAGATTGCACAGTTAGGCCACATGACAGGTTGAAAGAAAGACTCAGGAGACCTTGTTTTACAACCTGCCTCACGCCATTGATGTGACCCTCTAGCTAAATCTCTTAATGTCTCTGCCTCAATTTTCCTTATCTGTAAAATGGAAATTAGTTAATACCTGTACTGGCTGCCTTTCAGGGTTATAATGAAGCTAAGCACTTTCTAAACTTCAAAGTGCTATGGAAATATGAACTGCTGTTAGTGGCAGACAAGGAATCCAGGCCTCATGAATCCTGTTTCAATACTGTTATTTTGCTTTATGATAATGTTCCAACAATTCATATAAATGACTAGGATAAGTTGTATACAGCCAAGTCAAGTTTATACTGTTTTTTCTTTCTTCCTTGTCCTCCAGAACTTATAAAGCATTGGTAATGATTGTTTCCCAAAATAGTTAGTTGAATCCCCATCGAAGACACACTTTGAACTTTTAGAAACAAAACTGAGCTTACTCCTAAGCTGTAATTCTTAGTTACTTGCGATATAAGCTTAAGGGTACAGAGTCCTAAAGTTAGAAGGAATCTCAGAAACCATCCTCTGACGAATGAATTGAATGTAATTCCCAAAACTTAATTGTGTTCGGAGCACCATTCTAGTCTTGGGTAATAGTTTAGATAACCCAGGTTCCTGTCCACATGAAACTTATAGACTGGATGGAGAATTTAACACACATTGATGATTACTATAAGACAAAAGTTTTAGAGAACTGCAAAAGTGGTGTGAGTTCTGCAGGGGAAAATGGGGAGAAAGAATATTTACAGATTTTGGGGATCATAACTTTAAAGTTGGAAGGGATGTCAGAGGCCATCTAGTCCAACTCATTTTTG